ATACTGCCCCAAAATTCCAATCATCCTGTGAAACAATTAACCTGTCATGTTTAAAAAATTTTAGCTCATAATTTGGACTGTATCCTACCATTGATATTTATTTTAATCTCCTATTGATTTCTCTGGGAATTCTTCTGGTAGAATTAAGGCAGGATATAACTCCAAAGGAATTTCTGCAAAGAAGGTTCCCACTTTCATCCCTTTGTGTTTGATTTTATTAAGTTTAGGTCATGACGCTATATGTCTAAAAATAGGCCTACAGGCTAATCCTAGGGTAAAGTCTCCTATTTTTGTATTCAGGCTGAAAGGTCAATGAGAAAGCTGAAGACTCACAGGGAGAAGCCACATTAAAAATGACTGGCAACATGGTTTTGGTCCAGCTTCTAAAAAATGAAAGGCATTTATATTACTGAAAAAATGTATTTTTTCTTCATATATCCCCAAATGCCTATCTTCCATGAGATTCATTTTTAAATGCCCATTCAAACCATGTTCAAAACATTTTAAAAACAGTAGATATAGTATCAGTCATTAAAAATTACAGTAATGATGTCTATGGAATTGTGGATCTTGGAAATTTTTTGGAATGGTGTTAGGTTTTAAAAAAGAAAAGCAAAAATCATATATACAAATATATAGGATGTACCTAAAATGTACCTAAATAAATAAGAAGATAACAGAAATTTAAAATTTGTATTATAATTAGTGGACTTTCTATTTTATTGAATTTCCTAATGTTCTATATTTTACATATTAATGTTAAAATTCAAAGGCAGACAAATAATATAACTTACTTTTAAATTCATCAAATTCATATGAACTTAAAGTGATGACAAAAACTGAAACTAGTGAGCATAATGTCATTAAGAATATACTGGTATTTCCGTTTTTAAATTAGCGGTTCTTGGATCACTTCTAGAGCAGCTGAGGACACATACGGTCCTGTGGTAACCTTTCCTTATTTTATAGTATCATGAAAATATGTTTAAAAATTATGGTTTATCAATAAAAACTGACCAAGAGGATTTTTTATGCTGCTCTGCTCCCCTGATAGGGTTATTCTGTGGACCAAAGGAGATCATGTTTATGTAAGCATTTTAAAAGTACACATGAGAAACAGCATGACAATTTCAATATTACTCCACATGCTCTCCAGATTAGATCTGTAATTTTATCTCAGTTGTATAAGGAAGAACTGTCCTTAAAAGAAACAAATATCTGAAGTTGCACTGTAACACAAACTCATATTGTTCTCTGTCCCTTAAGAAGGAACAGATCCTAAAAAATGAGTTATTATTTTAAAGCCACTAGTCCTGGGAAGCTCTCCTACAAGGGGAGAGATGTCCTGGCTCCATTATTAAAAACTGCAGATCAACTTCATCACTGATTCAACTACCTGAATTCATGGGAATATATTGGAGAAGTGGGGCTGAGCCCCTCATATCCTTATCAAGGTAACAGGGACCCTGCTATGTTTTCTATCTACATAATGTCAGTAGGGTAGTGGTCAGTGTGATGTCCTGAGTATTGATTAGGCAATTACTTGTTTCTGCAGAATCACCTGGGACACAGACCTAGAAAGTTAACCTGACCCCGTGGCAAGACAGTGAAGATGTACAACTATGTCTGTCACATGAAAATAAATGTCTGCTATTTACTGCTTTGGGGATAAAGAAAAAAGCATTTGTCAAATCAATGGGTGATTAGGAAGGGCTATATTGATTTGTTCCAATGAAGAGACCACATCTTGTACAAAATTGCAATATCGAATCCCCACTTGATTAAACTTCTGATAATCTATTGTTATTCTCGGTGATCCATCTCTCTTTTTCATGAGCCAACTGGACCGCTAACTATGGAAGTGAGGAGAATTTCCACCCCTACATCTTTAAAGTCTTTAACAATGTTGCAAATTTTTGTAATTTCACCAAGTCTGTGGTATCCCCTTTGATTTAATCCTATAGTGAATAGAAAAACTCCAGAAGATTGCACTTAGCCATTCCTAACAATGATAGTAACAGCAAAAACTTTACATGGTTTTTACCACTGTCCAGACACTGTTTTGAGAAATTTACATATAATAATTAATCTAAGCTCACAACATAAGAGATACATGGTATTATCATCTGACTTCACAACAGGAATTATAACAGGTCAAGGAACAAATATGGTTTCTATCTGTTGATGGAAATATACTTTCCTAATTCTTGTTACTCATGGTAGTTATGTAATACAAAGTTACCCCCACATGAGATTAGTGAATACTGAACCATTTCTCCTAGGATATATATATATATCACATAGATCATAACTTTAAATCCTAGAAACAACTCGTCCTGATAAATTCTATATTCTTTAATTTAAAAAAGCAAAAACAAGGTTCAAAAGTGTTCGATGACTTGCCTGAGATCACCCCATTAACAGGCTGCAGTAGGGGTTCAAACACCATCCAACCAGTCCAAGAGCGGGCGCTTCCTGCACTGCACTGCCCCTGGCCATCTCCGTCCTCTGGTATTCTGTGTCTGAGAGCTGGAACAAGAAGACAGATCATTGCCTGATGGATCTCAGTTGGGACCAAATGCAATGGATAATTAAAATTTTTTACTGCCCTGACATCCATGTGTGGCCACAAAAGCTCTGTCAGTATTAACTGTGGGGTTACAAATAAATTAGTGAGTCGATAAATGCATAAATATGAATCTGTGGATAATAAGAACCAATTGTATTTTAATTTTACATTCAGTAATTGGGGAAATAACCGCAGTCTGGGTCGTATCTTCTGGTCAAAATCCTATCATCAGCCGACCCTCGTTCGTCCCACTCTTGGCAGACAGTACTCGCCGGCCTCAGGAATTAGTTATAAGCAATTGTTGAATAATATCATTATCAATTAAATAAGGACAGGATATACTGTACACAGTAGGTCTTCGGGAACAGTGCACGTTGAGAAGCTTACAGAGATCAAAGTGATAGCAAGTGCATGATCTTCTGTGGTCCTTTGAAATCTGGACCAATAGGATGTATCTTACAGGACCAACATCTGATGCTGAGAGAGGTACCCCAGCTTTCAGGCCTTGGGGGCCTTTAACATCGTGATCATGAAGTATCAGCCCTTCCCCTGGCAGATCAAAGGCCGGTGCTCAAGCCTTCTAGCTGTGGCAGTATAACAAGACAGACCCCTGGCCACCAAGGTCCCACTCTGGTGTCATCAGGGCCCTGGGGTCCAGAACCTGCAGCCTGAGTCCACGACATCAGTACTCTTACCATCACGACTATGTCTAAGCCAGACTTTTGTTCATCTGACCTGTCCTCGCTCAGATATAAAAACCAAGTAGGACCTTAATGGATTCACCATCTGCTGTCACCCTAGGAATTCCAAGCTATCTAGCCACCGACGTAGATTTTGCAGGACACTGGATCATTCTGATGACCACACAGTGCCTGATGCCTATCATACTAATCACATGTGCCTTGCTTGGGTGGTTAAGTGTGACCGCATCTTCTCAGCAGTTCTAGGCTACAACGAGCCAGGAGAGATCCCTGACCTGCCGGGAATCCCCTCTGCAGAACAGGTTTCAAGGCATTGATGAATCCTGTCTTCAGAGCCCTCTATGGGTCAGTGAGGTGGGGAGAAGTCAACCTCCTACATTCAATTTACTCCAAAACATTTTGTCTCCCTATTTCTTTGCATTTCTTTACTGACATTATTCCAAAATTTTTCTGCCCTCTCAGTTTGATTTAGTAAGAGCCACCTGAGACTTTTAGTCGCTCAACCAAACAACTGTCATTACTTCCAGCTGTTGAGGTCACACTGAATCCAGAATTCTGGCACTCACATAAATTCAGCTCAATCTAAAATTATGTTTTCCCTCTCTGCTCAACCAAGCACAGACATACTACCCAGATTTTTCCTGATATGAACTAGAAAATTGCTCCAATTCTTTTGATGGGTAAGTCACATCCTACTAGTCTTGACATTGTAATCCCCCTGCCCCAGTATGATGAGATCTAATTTAGTTGTATTTTTAGATATAATACAGTGTGATGCTAAGGTTCACTGGCTTCCCACTGAAACACAATTCCCTCCAGCCAGGGAGATTTTGAGTCTTTAGACAAGGCAGGAATAAGCTCTTAGAAAGTTGAAAATAGTTTCTTCACCCCACATGGAAAGTTCACTGGAGTTAGATGCTGGGGTTCCTTCATTCCTCTGAGGAATCCTAGGTCACCCCATCCCAGTGCTACAAGTATCACTACCAATGATACTGTCTGTTTTGTAAGATTTCTTCTAAGGTTATAAAGTCAACTGGCATGGAAATTGCAACCTGCAGAGACACACAGCACATTTGCTCTTCAGCTATTTGAGTTCTGCTCATGAAAAGGTGAAAGATTCATTTGGCAATCACAGGAAGCCCCTGAGATTTAGTCCATACTGGAGTCAAGAACTTTAAAAAATCAAGTACATCATTTTCTTCCATCAATTTTTAATATTTTCGGTGTCAGTAGAATCCTGGCATAAATGCTGTTTCTTGAAATGGCCACTTGGCCTCTCAAATTCTTGCCTTTGATGGACACCTCAGATGAAATCTGACTTAGCTGTTCACCGCCGAATGCCTCCAACTGCCTCATTTCCACACCTTCATGCTACCTAGATGCCACTTTCTTCAACCTCAGATGACCAAATAAACCATCTCAAATACCTTCCAGTTCGCTGGAAGCTTCTAACTGCACCTTTTCCTTGTATCAATTTCTAAGTCCATTGAAATATTTGTATCTGGAAAGAAACAGAACCCCTCACAAACACCAGTGCAACGACTATAGGGTCGCACATAAAAGGATATCCCCATGGAGTGCAGGCTGTGCAAATATTTAATCCCACAAATCAGGGTTGTTGACCAGTCTCAGATTATCCGTTTCTTTTTCCTGCTTTGCATAATGCTGGATTCACTGTGAGGCTATGTGACCTCAGGGCTCCAGGAAGTCAGTAGGATGCCACCAGCGCAGGTCCCGTGGAAGAAGGAGTGGTTTTCCTTGACTCTGTGTCATGAACTAAGAAGAACTTGAACAGAAACCTAGATTGAGCACTTTCCTTGTGTCTTTTTGCCATGTGAATGAATTAAATCATTTAATGTGCATTCATAATTGCTTATTCTCCTTAAAAGTAACTTTTGTATTTGAAACAACACTCTGGAGAAGGGATTCTGTCTGGGTTCTTTATTCCTACCAGGCAGCCAGATCAGAGTGAATTCTTTTAAGGTGGGGACATTATTTTGTAATTCTTTCACTGTGATACTACTAGTTCAGTAGGTATTTAATACACATATGTGAGAGGAATGACAAAGACAAGTCTTTAAGAAATCTTCCCTGTAGCACCTGGACCTTCCTAGGTGACACCTGCTATGCTCTGGATTTTACAGTATAAAATAATCTTTCCCTTTGTGTTGTTTTGTACGGCTTATTTTCCTTTTCCTCTTGTGACCTGACTCAGTTGTATTAGTGGCCACTGTTTGGATGTGGATAAAAAGGAAGGAGCAAATGAACCACATCTTTAGCCTGGACTCTTGTACTCTGTCTGGTTTATACAAATGCAGTTGTGCTGGCTCTCGTTTCCAGCAAATGAGAGGTTGATCTTATGCAGGAGTCACATTAAGATGGGATTCCAAGAATATTCAAGTCCCAGTTCCTGCCTTGGCTAGCCACGAGTCCTCCTCAAAAGGCCCTGCATGCACAACTGGGGCAAAATAGGAAATACTGTACTTTCTTACTAGCCAGGATTTTGGGCCAAAGCAGTACCCCAGGGAGTTAGGTTGGATCATATGGAAGCATTTTATTCTTCCGACGCTGGTTAGGTCTAAACACTACTGAATCAAGCACGCTATCATGCCTGCTGTTCCTCCCCAAGCTGAAACCACATCTCAGAACTCAGAGTAACAACGAAATGCAGGGCCCCACCGTCCACATCAGAAATGGACACCATGTGTCCTTCCCCGAAGTCGCCACCCCCAGCAAAAGTGGCTTCAGTGAGCAGCCTGGAGCCTGAACAATTTCAAGCATTGCTTTTCCTCCTTAGGGAAAAGTTGAGAACAGGGTTTCCTTCTCCAGAACCCAACACTGAGGAGTTGAGGCCAGACTTAAAATAATGAAGAGTATCCATTTCTTTGCAGTGTGTCCTCTTCGATCTTCTCTGTGCATCTGAGCAGCAGGGGGCAGCTGGTGGAGAATCGAAGGGTTTGGGAGTCCAGCCATACATCCGTTTTCCTTTCTCCTTGGAGTCACATCTAATAGGAGAGATCAATTCCAATTAAAATGTGTGTGAACATATGTGGAAGGAGAATGACATAGCTTAAGGTAACCTTTGGATGCCGTGTAGTCTATCTTCCTGCCCCTGAGAGAACACCCCTCAAGTAATTTAAAAACATTGGTATGTCTAATTTTCTTAGGGCTCTTGTGTAGAAGGGAGTTTTGGGTTCTGCCAGAAACGGATGATGCTATAGGGATTAAAGGGCAAGTTGTTGATGTGGGAGGTGATCTCAGGAATGAAAGGTAGGTCATGGGTGAGACAGAAAGGGGAAGACGTCAGTATGGAGTACGCTAATGAGCCAATTTCTGCAGAGGACCTCCGGGCGATGGTGCAGAAATGCACCAAGTTCTCCTGCCTCAGAGGTGAGGAACAGGGTTACTTATCACCCAACTCCCGTCCATCACCACCTTGAGGCTGCTTCAGGGGCATCAATTTCTCATGCATAAGCATGCCAGAAAAGGCCCTTGGTTGGAGACTTCCATGGGATTTTCCAGAGATTTCCAGAGATCTACAAGGAAGGCTCATTCACAGAGGAAAGGCGAGTGCCCCCAATTGTGGACGGGAGCGCCAACAGTTTCTACTACAACGCAGAAACCGCCTTGTAAAGTTATCTTGGATTAACGCTATTATCTAATTTAACTCCTTTTTGATATTTCTGTAAGACTATAAAACAATAGTTACATTTTTCAGTCTTCATCAGTAGAAAGAGTAACATTTCTTTATGTACAGTTCTTGGTGATTATTGTCTCTGCTCATCCTCTATGAACCATATTTATAAAAAGACCATCTTCATCATGAACCCTTATTATTTTTTATACTATTTGTTAATATTCCACATTTCTATCCCCTCTCCTGACAAAGGAGTATTATTAGATAATACTGTTCTAAAAGTTTACTAGTCTGAGGCATTGTTTTAAGGTGCACAGGTGATTTAAATCAATAAATCCAAGGAAGGAGGGAAAACAATCATTCAATCCTCAAAATAGACCTGTGAAAGAGGTGTGATTGTTCTGTGCCCAAACACCGTAAGGAGAACGAGGAACTGAGGGCTCATTCACGGAGCAGGCAAGGGCCTCCCGGCCGCCAGCTGACCGCAGAGTCTGCATGTGGTTGTGATCTCTGGCCTGTGCTGCCAAGCGAAGGGGAGCCCAGTGGATTCTGCACATAATTCTCAAATTTCTGTGACCCCAGAGCTGCAATTCAGTCCTTCTGCAAGTGAGGGCCAGCAAGCTGGGCATCTTCCTCTGTGGCTGAAGAGTCAGCCTGGTCACCTGTGCATGGGGGCGGCTTGGGCACAGTGAGGGACGTCCCACCCGGTCCCTCTGCTTATATTTGCCAAGGTCTTCAACACCTAATCTCTTCCAGTTTTTTAAAACATGTTAGTACATCTTCCTGGTCTGTGACAATGACACATTAACACAAGGAGAGAGTCCCCACCTAGAGTTAAGGGCTCTGCTGCTCTCTTTGTCCCTTTTGTTTAGCTGATAAGAGGGGCGGAATATTTACCAAACTGCCATTTAGTTCTATGGACAAATCTCTGGGATTAGAAATGGATTAAGAGATATGTGGGCAATGGCAAGCATTCTAAATCCCCATATTCAAAATGCAGATAATTGATACTAGAAGTAATAACATGACATAAAAAGTTTTTGCACATAAACAGAGTATCACCAAAGAGTATATCAGGAATCAGATGCTCTTTGTATTTCATACTATTTATTAATTTTTCCTTGGTTACACTACATACAGTATACTGGAAAACAGTGTTGGATATTGGTTGTTTGAGAAACTAAGTTTAATTTGAAATGTATATGATCCCATTCACTAACCTGTTTTCGCACTCTGATAACAAAATGTGGTGACATTTTGGGAGGAACCAGGGGTTTTCAAATTTCCAAGCTTTTCACAGAGATGCCTTGCAGCATTTTTAAATAACAAATACCACCAGTATCCTTTGGGTTCCAAATATTTGTAATTTATTCCCACTTTTAAAGCAAAGAAACTTAGTAAAATCTTGCAGTTCTTTCACTTTTGACTTATATAAACAAAATTCTAAAAAGTTTCCATGGACAAGAGCAGCAATATGGTATTTTACCTTTTGTGGCCATTTTCTAAGTATAACTAGAATCAAAGTTCTTTCCTCATAGGAAAGATATGTGTCACAAACAGTTGCCATTTATCTTGGGGAAAAAAATCGAGTAAAAATTCTTAAAATATGGCAGCAGCTGTGTTTGCATAATGAATAGTCCAACTTCTAGTCAATTCATTCAGAAATCTTCCAAGAAATTTTCTGGCACTTCATTCCACTTTGATGAAACAAGTAAATGGCAGCTAGGTTTGCACACTAAGGGGACCGATTCTCCAGGTTGCAGCCTACTGGCAGATTGTTTATACACGGTGTTCAGTTTAGTTTATGTCCTTTAAATTACCAGCTCTTCAGTTGATCACCAGCTATATGCTCCATACAATGTATATATCATAATCGTCCTTTGTGATAGCTCTAAATATTTTTTACTATTTTTCACTTTTCATCTTGCCATTCACTTAAACAATTCGTAGTGTTTAAAATGACAAAACCATTTAAAATATTCCTCCTGATAGTTATTTCTGTAAGACAAGCAAAGTCTGAAAGAAAATTTGGAACTATTAGGAATGACCCTCCAAATCCCAGAAAGATCAGCAAACCTGGGAGTAATCGGTGCATCTGGAAGCGAACTGGGAGACCCCCACCTAGGAGTGTGTGACAGCTGTGAACCAGCGCCCAGGTCAGCAGAGGAGAACCTGCTCGGTCCAACTTGTGACAAACCTGCAAAATCTGATGACATGACAGATTTTATGACCCTGACAACAGAGGGACTGAAGAAGTCCGTAGGAGGAACGCAAACAGGAACAAGGACCACTCCCTTCCCCACTTGGATCACCCTGGAAATATTTTGGTCTAATTTTCACGTGCTGTTGTTTAGTTTCTTTCTACACCCAGAGGACAAGAAGACATTTTGCAGTATTAGATCTTGTTCATGGCAAATATCAAAACCTCAGTAATTGATTTAGAATCTAATGACATATAGAGAAAAGGCTAATTTTTCCTCTTGATAATTCTTTTCAGGAAAAATAAACTGACTCATCTACCTGTCTGCATTGCTTAGCATTTTCTTGCCATTTTATTATTATGATTTGTTATTAAGGAATGTTTCACCCAACTCTTTTTTTACTTAGCTCTAGATTTTCATGGGGTATAAAGTGCAGGTTTTTAACTTTTTTTTTTTAATGTTGTAAGACATTGCATAGTTCCAAAGTCAAAGTATAAAATAAAAAGTGTGGGGAACTTCAGCTCTCATCCCAGCGTCCTCTTCCCTACATCCTAGCTCTCCAAACAGGCAAAGTTTTTATTAGTTTTTAGGTTAGCCTTCTACTGTTTCTTTCTGAAAATATGTTATATGTACATACACACACACAAATATGTGCATGCATACACACACAAATTGATTGTATCATAAGCACTATTCTGAACCCTGCTTTTTTCATTTAATATTACATCCTGGGATTACACAAAGATGTAAAGATACTTTATCTCATTTTACAGTTGCATACACACCACTGTGCAGATGCATCATAGTTTATTGAACCAGTCTTACAACGATGGATAATTTGGGTTGTTTCTTGTATTTTGCTATTACAAATAAAGCAGCAATACCCTTTGCAGACATCATTTTTTGTTAATTTTCTGTCAACTCTAACCAACTTATTTTAAAGGGAAAACCACACTCACATACAAACCACATGCTTTGCAATTTACCCATCAGATGGTCTACACAGACCTACTAGAACCATTTCAGAATTCAGGGCACAGATTTCAGGGGCAAGCTTCAGAGACCTTATCCCACATGAGAAAAGCACAGAAAGGGAACCAAGGACAGAAAAATAACCAAGACTGTGTGGGATTATCATTATGGGAAAATAAACCCTATAAACAATGTGTTGTTCAAACAGCCTGGAGATGATAAGCATTAAATAATTACGACATATATGTTACAAAGCTGAACTATAGTGCGATCCTCTATTATCACCTCACAGCAATAATCAGGAAGTCGAACTGTGGTTTCTCTGATACAGTAAAAACTAGACTGAATGTGTTTAGGGAAACTTCCGGTCATTTTTAGGACAGATTTTTAGTAACTCCAACTCATCACCATATTTGATTTTTACTCACAATCATGTAAAATAGTATTTCCAATAAAAGAACAGGAACCTACGTGCAGCTGGGGATTCCCTGCATGGTGTGCTCTAAGCATAAAACGTTCAGTATAATTTCAGGCCTTATATGTACTAAAGGGACTGAGATTTTTAAACGTTAAACTCCACCTGATAACTTACTTTTAAAAGCGGTATGAAGGGCTTTAAGTTGTTTCTCCACTCCATTCCCCTGCTTCTATGATTTTTCATGTTGTGTGCCTGTCACTCAAGACACTCTAGTCCTGTTACAACCGCTGTAGATGCCCAAGCCGAAAATCTATGAAGAAAAGCAGGTTCAGTTTACAGGTGATGAATCTGCCCCATCCTTTCTGTGATCAGCACAAAGGTAAGAGTGTGGGCTTTGGAACATCAGTGGGACAAGTCCCCAGGGGGCAATTTAGAATTTTTCACATCCTCACTAACACTTGTGACTATCTAACTTTTTTATTGTAGCCAGCCTAGCACGTATGAAGTGGTATACAATATTGTTTATTTGCATTTCCCTGACTATAATGATGTTGAGCATCTTTTCATGTCCCAATTGTCCATTTCTGTATCTTCAGTGAAATGTCTCTTCAGATCTCTTGAGAAATCTGTTCAGATTTTCTGTGTTGAAATTTTAGATGACTATTGCTTAGTACGTTCTTTCTCTCAAGTTCTACATTTGCCTTTTATCTGTTCTTTTGAAGACAATGCCTTAGTCCTTTAAGGCAAATTTAATGGAAGGACGACACAGGCCCTGGGTCAGGCTAACAGGAAGCAGGATGGCAGAAGGACATTGCACGCTTCTACCTGATGCGGTCAACCCATGAGCTTGCAGTCGTAGAGGGATCAGACGCTCCACGTCCATTTCATTCCTTCTCCCTCCTGGAGACCACTAGGGTGATTCACGCCATGCATGTTCTGCGTATGGGCACATCCTCCAGGTCTTCCTCGCATCCGCTTGATCCCACCACCCCTTGCTCCCCCTCACTGTGTGCTGGCGGTGCAGGGCAGAGCTGCTGGGCCCAGACCACTTTCACAGAGGGCTTTCCGTAGGGACCACTTTGTTGTCCATCGCTGCAATGCTCTCTGGCCAGGCTGCTTGTGTCCCTGCCCCGATGCAGCTCAGTCTCAGCCAAACAAATTCGATCTAGATTAAACCACAGCGTCTCACAGGCAGGAGGGAGAGTGAGGAAAGCAAGGTGGCTATGACCCCAGGCTGCTCTGGGAGAAAGCAGCCGGAGAGAACGCTATCTGCCTTTTAATTGCGGCATAGAGACATTTCGATTCAGTTAATTAAGTCTACTGTCTTGCTATTTATTTTCTATGGGTCATGCTTCACATTTGTTTCTTTTTGCTCCTTTACATTTTTGGATTCAGTATTTTTGGATATTACACCTTTTTTTCCACTGTTCAATTATTAGCTATTCTATTTTTTAGCATTTGCTGCAGAATTTACAATAAGCATCTTTAACGTATAACTGTCTACACTCAGTTACATCACACCAATTTATGTCTGATAAAAAAATTTTACAACATTACACTTCTGGTTTCCATATTCTGTCCTTTGTACAAGTATTGTCATGGTTTTGCTTCTATTTGTGTTTTCTTTTTAAAAATCTAAACAATTACCTTTTAAAGACATTTAATTATTTATCCACATATTTACTTGTTTGTGATTGTCTTCCAAGTTTCTGCTTGCTATCATTGTCCTTTTACCTGAGAGAAATCCTTTAATATTTTATGTCCTATACATAACAGGTAACAAATTATCTCAGCACTTTTTGTGTAAATAATTATTTATTTCTCCCTAACATCTAGAAGATATTTTTAATCAGATATAGAATTCTAGATTGACTTTTTATTTCAGAACTTAGTATGATTACTTCATTGGATTTTGGCTTCTACTGTTTCTCTTAAGTCTGTGGTCATTTTCATCTTTATCCCCTGTAGGTAACATCTATCTTTTTTCTGTCTCCTTTAAAATGTTCTCTTCTCCCTAGTTTTCAGTTTATTCATTATGATGTGACTTAATGTTTTATTTGTTTATCAAATTTGAGATTATTTAAGCTTCTTGCATGTGTAAACCTTTGGTAATTACTTCTTCAAATTTTATTTCAATTCCCCTCTTCTGAATCTCTATGTTAACACTTTCTATTTGGTTACAGGTAATTGGCTCAGTTAACATTTTCTCAGCCTTTTTCTCTCTGCTTCATTTTAGGATTTTTCTCTTTCACTGTCTTCAGTTTCACTGGTCTTTTTTTAATCTATTAAGCCCATTCGATTAATTTTTCATGTCAGACATTGTATCTTTCTTCTCTAGAAGTTCCATTTACTTTTTAATAAATACTCTTCCATTTCTCTTATTATTTGGATGCTTTTTCTCTAAATCCTTGAGATGTTTTGAAGACCTTGTTCTACCTCTATTATCTCTGTCATCTCTGGACCTGTTTCTGTTGAAGATTTTTCTCTTGGTTATGGTTCACATTTTTCTTCTTTGTATGTCTAGAAATTTTTTATTGGAATGGTAGATATTAATAAAATGATACTGATAGCCTGAATTTTTTTTCCTTTAAAGAGGGTTGAGTTTTGTTTCACTGGCAGATAAGCACTTTTCAGCAAAAAGAAGGGACAACTGATGGGCTGTAGGGCTTACCTCATTTATTCCTATTTTAGACATTCCTGTATTGTCATGTCTAATGTTCATTATCTAAAAACAGATTTTTTTCTATATATATATTTTTTTCATGTTTCTAGTTGCTTATGGTGAGAGGACAAGTCCTGTACCAGTTAATTTACCATGGTTGGAAGCAAAAGTCCTACATTATGATTGAGTTATGGTCTGGCTTAATAGACCAATCTAATAAACTGGCTTAACATTATATATTCTGAAATTTGAAGGTACCGCTTCATAATCAGAGTACCTATTTTGAAGGAAGGCTTTCAGGATTAAATGATTGTCTACATTCATGAGTGCTTAGGAAGGTTATTTAGCATCTGCATGTCCTAGTTTCCCATCTGTGAAACTGTGGCAATCACATCACCTACTCCACAGGTATTGAGAGGCAAATGTTAGTTCCTGAAAGTGTTCCTATTTGGAGGTACTTTGTGAGTCTTTCCAATATGAAGTTTTCTTTCTTTCTTCAGTTTTGAGATGGACTTTTCTCTCTTCTCTTCTGATATTCCTGATAGGTGGGTACTATAACCTTTTTTATAAAGGAGCAGAGAGTAAATATTTAGATTTTGATAGCCATATGGTCTTTGTGGCAATTATTTAATTATGTTGTCATGTTAAAGCAGCCATAAATAATATGTAAGTGAATGGGCATGGCTGTTTTCCAATAAAAACTTATTATATGCAAAAATAGGTGGTGGGCTAGATTTGGACCATGGGTCATGATTTGCCAACCCACTATAAACGGTAATTAGTGGATCTGTCACCTCCAACTGCACTGTAAATTCCTGAAGTTCTGAAGTCAAGTCCTTATTCTGTTTGTATTGTTATATCTCCTAGCCAGTCTCTGGCATAAAATAGTTGCTCACTCATCGATCTTTTACATATCCATTTATTGAACTACTACCAAGTGCCAGTAAAATGCCTGTGTATATTCTGAGGTAATCTCTTTCCTCTTGCTTTTCTACCCAAGGGAGCAAGATGGAAATGCTACCTGAAGAGTAAGAAAAAAAATGAGCCTCTTCTAATATAAACAATCCTGCAACTAAGCTTTACTTTCTTCCAGCATTTGGATCATTTATGTTTCCTTTGCACCTTGCAGAAGTAGTTTAACCTATTTACACTGTCACCAGGTCATGTTTAAACTCCTCATTATCTGGCCACATCCTCTAGACAGGACATTACAAGTTTCCTTGTATGATCATTTCACTTTGAAACTAATGGAAGGGTGGGTTCAGTTTCTGGTCCTCTAAGTGTTTGAGCCAGGACACTTTGTATAATTCTGCTACATTAATGATGAGGAAAGCAATGTATGTTTGATGAAGAGGATATCCTGTCCCTGCCCTATTCCCCATCCCTGTTCACACGCCTATCACGCAACTCCACTTACCTCATTAAATACTCCCTGACGGGGTCCATGTCCCTGAGGGCCATCCTTTATCACAGGGCTCTATAAACTTCTTCACCAGGCTATTTTATAAGGCATAGTAGAAAGTGATTCTCACCTTTAACTCTTTACAGATAAAGCAAGATGATTATAATGTCACGAAATGCTCATTTTTACCCAAGAGAAATAAGGAGTCATCACAAAACATCAAAGGATTCCACTGCTATCTTTGGCAATAAAGTAAGAATATTTAAACCCATTTCAATTTTCTGTGCAAGTTCCTTTGGAAAAAAAATGTGGATGACTACACCACAAACACTGAAAGCCCCTATTGTGCTGTCTCTTAAGTGTGTGTCTTGTGCATGAGAAACAGAGAAGCAATATTATAAATACACTTAAAATCCACTACATCTTAATGAACGCAGGGTTGGCCTCACTTAACTGGCTTAGATCATGTGGTAAAAAATTACTACTTAGGCTTGTTTAAAATCAGAATTTCCTATGTTGGCTGCGGATGCAGAGCCCACCTACAGAAGCCCAAACAATGACCTGATAGCTGAGACATTAGGGATGGGTGTTGATGAAAAGATTTCCTTGTATTATTTTCATTAGGTTTCCTGCTTGCCTCATCAATGCTTGATGGACTTGGGTGCCAAAAAGTAGAGATTACTTTTATGGAGCATCTTGTGAATTTATTTCCTCTAAACCTTGATGATAGTCACCTTAGTGATATAACAGAGCATGGTCTTTACTGCAATTAGAAACAAATGGGCCGGGATGTGCGTAATCACAAAATGCCCTGGGGAAACCAGTCTGAGGCACAGGCAGATAAGCTCCTGCCCATCTGTGGTCATTGTCTTCCAAGTTCAGCCCCCCACTGTGCTGATATCCCTATTATCAGTGTTCCTGAAGATAGTGATCTGTGTTCCTGCATGTGAACAGGACGCTTTTCTATTTTCTATTGGTAGCTAGCCCCGTCTTCAAGTTTAGTTTTAGCTCTGCTTTTCTCCCTTGGCTTCATCCTAACTCCTAAGTATCTCCATTTGCTCTATGCTAGGGTTTCTCAACTGCAGCATTTTTGACATTTTTGAGCTGGATAGTTCTTTGTTGGGGGCTGGGGTGCTATCCTGTGCATCACAGTATGTTTACAGCATCCCTGGCCTCTACATACTAAATGCCAATAGCTCATCCCCAAGCCCCCAGTTGTGACAACCAAAAAATGTCTACAGACAGTGGCAAAGCTACTCTGGGGACATGGGGTGCAAAATGACCCCTGGTTTCGAACTTGACACCATATACTAACTTGGTTTTTCTACCAGTGGTGCCCATACCACATAAATTCTGCTATGTTTTAAAATTTGTTTTTATCTCTAAATAAGCATCTTTCAATACATCATTTTAAAAACAAGGAAATGGAGATCAAGTGGATGAATTCCATTCGCCAAGATGACATAATCACTGGTGACAAAGCCAGGGCTAGACCCGACTTCCTCACAGCGCTTCTTCTGACCTGCCCCGGCTCCCATTTGTTCCACCACAGAAAGTCATTAAAGAGGTGCTACATCTTCCGCTCTGTGATACCCAAGAAACCCCTCATTAAGTCCCTAGGTAAATTGGTTATCTGTTCATTCATGCATTCAACAAATATTTGAGTGGCTTCTCTGTACTGGAAACTATTGTGGGTTCAAGAGATACAGTACTGATCAAATCAGACTAAGGACATATAAAACAGGTCACGTGGTCATCAGCACTGCAGAGGAATTTAAATCTGAAAAGGGAGACGGGGAATCACGAAGGGCTTGTAATTCGATGCGATCCTTCCACATATCCGAGAGAAGAGCCGTCCAGGCACAGGGAAGGCGAGCACACAGCTCCTGAGACGGGGGTGCACTGGCATGTCTAAGAACCAGGATGAACCACTCTGCCTGGAGCAGTGATGCACGTAGGGCACGGGAGAGACGGAACTGGAGCTGGGCCACAGGTCCATACAGACCACAGGGGCAAGATGCCCATTTACACTGTGATTTATCTGCGATTTACACAGATTTTCGGGTTTGAATCCCAGCTCTGCCACTTCCAGTTGTAAAACCTTGGGAAGTTACTTAATCTCTGCGCACTTAAATTTCCTCATGTGTAATGTCCAGACTGAATGATACAACCTGAAAGGGTGCTGTGAAGTTTTTAAAAGTTAATATATTTGGACTACTGAGAATAGTACATGTAAGTACTTCAAAGAGTTACCAGTTATACTGCTGACTTTTTAAATGGCTGAGTGTGAAATAGACTAGGGGAGAAGGGAGAGGGTGGGACGTGGAAGTAGGAAAATTGAAGTTTGCCGTGACCCAGACTGCTACAAAACGTGTTCAGAGAAATGACCTGAGCATTTGGATACAGTTTGAAGGTAATACCAGTAAGATTAGGGATGGTTTGGTTGTAGAGTTCAAGAGCAAATAAGAAGCCAAGGACAGCACCAAGTGCTTTAATTCAGTCATGGAAAGAATGGGGTTCCAGTTAGGAAGGAGGTAGGAAAGACTGGGGAAGGAATAGCTGGGGCTAGAGAATCAGAAACTCATTTGGGGGCATATTAAGTATAAAATGTTTACTTGACATCCAAATAAATGTGCTAAATAGTTAGCTCATAAATCTGAAGGTCAGGAGAGCAGATTCAGATATACACATTTGGAAGTTGTCAGCACACAGAAGCTCTTTGAAGCCATAAGACTGGATGCAAACACCTCTGGGAGTGGGTGCGGACGGAGAAGGAGGAGGCTGAGGAAGGGGCTTAGGATGCTTAACCATCTGCAGGCTGTCAAGACAAGGAGCAGCGGCAGAGGAGAGGGGGAGGAAGGTGGGCTCAGGCGGGAGGCTTCGGAAGGTGCAGGCGAGGCTCTGGAATGTAACAGAAGAAAGTGATCCGCCCCCGAGCGTGCAAGGACCTCCAATATCAATAACAGCAGACAATGGATAAATTAGGCCAAACCTACCTTCAAGCAAAACTGTAAAAGCTAAACAAAAGATAAAAGCTACCCCTTAAAGGTATCATGGAGCTAAAAGAGAAAGTGTTAATGGTTTAACCCCTACACAGATAGATACTTGGAGTCTTTTCTCTCTAATTCTGAATTTTTGCTGTTGTTTGTTTGTTTGTTTTCCAAAGCTTACTAAGCCATGATTTGAGAAGAGAAAAAACTCCAAAGGATGAGCCCTGGATCTGGGACCCCTTTTACCAGGGGGATTCGCTTGTTCTGGAGAAAGTGTCTGAGAGGTTGGGAAGCTGGATAGAATTCCCAGAAGCCTTACAGGCCTAATAAAATGGACACAGGACCCCAGGGCCCTTCTAATGGGAGTGGGGGGCACAGACTAACGTCTGCGCTGTGTGATGGACCAACTAGCCATGTGTTAGGGGTTTGATGAACCCCCACAGGGGACCTTCTCAATATCTAGGACTACTCTCAATTTATGGCTATAATTTTTTAATATAGTTAGCACAGAACAAAAAATACCTGGCGCATGAGAAGGCAACATTTTTTTTAAATCACAGAATTAAATGACAGTACAAAGAGATCCACAGGGCCTGTGATGCTGAATTTTAAGTCACTGCGCTTATTATGTTCCAGTAAATTAAAGACAGGATGGAGAAACTAGACAGATAAATGGGAAATATAAAAGGAGATAAAGCAGAGTTGAAAAAAGACCAATAATAGCAAAACTAAGTAACCAGTAGGTGAGTTTAATAGAATATTAATCAGAGCTAGAATTAATGAGCACAAAGGCAGGTCAGAAGAAACAACCAAGAAGGAAATACGAAGACAGGAAAGGTTGGAAATACAGAAGTGAAGGCAGCAGACACAGGGAAGAGCTGGTTTCACAATCGGGTCTGGTACTTCCAGGAGGAAGAGAGAGAAAGTAGAGCAGAATACAGTTTGAAAATAAAATGACTAAGAATTCCAAAACTATTGGAAGATAAAAATAAACAGAAGCAGGATACACATGTAGGATAAATATTGATAAATGTATACATGAGGATATCATACCAACACTTTTGAAAAACAAAGATGAAGATAAAATATTAAAAGCAGTTAGAGAATAAGGGCAATTTATCCCCAAAGGAGCAAGAGTTGAACTAACAGTTGACATTTCAGAAGATCCAGAGGAAGTGCTGAAATCAAATTTTGCCAATTAAAATTTGCCAGTAAAGATATCCTTCATGAATGAGGATGAAATAAAGATCCACTCAGATAAATAAAAGCAGAGCATTTATCACTAGTAGATCAGAAGAAAAAGTCCGCAGTTTCAAACAAGGAAATAAAAGAGGGGATGGAGAGCAAAGCAAAGGATGATCATGTGGCTAATCCAACTGAATAATGATTGTATAAAACAGTCATTATAATATGTTACAAGGTTTTAAATATATGCCATTAAAATACATTAAAAGATAGGAAGTTTACAGGTTGGAAGGAGTTCAATTAAATCAGACACCACAGGTCCTTACCTTGTCCACAAAAGGGACAGAAATACAAGTCGAATTTAACCTTGATTAGTCAAGAATGCATCTTGTCACCTCTAGATGACCTCAGAAAATAATAAAATATCTATAACTGTGGTATTTTTGACCTAATAACATACTTAAAACAGAACTATTCCCCTCATCTCCTCAATCCTGTAGTCCCTGCCCAATCATCACCAACCTCTCCATTAACCAGTGTCTCAAAAAAGAAGGCGATGGACCGTTCTGGGTGAGGAGCCTGGTTTAAGCAGATGAAGATGGAGAAAGGACCGTTAGATTTAACAGTCTGGAGCTCACTGACCAGGGCTGTTTTTAATGACATGGGAAGGTGATAAAAATATTATTAGAGTGAGTTCAAGAGAGAATAGGAGAGAAAAAGCAGACAACAAATGCAGGCACCTTTTGGGGGGAATCTCTAAGTAAAAGGGAATAGAACTTGGAAAGAAGGCAAGATCAATTAAGAATTATTTTTTAATGTGGAGGATTGTATAGGACATTTGGGTGTGGACGAAAATGATCTTGCAGAGAGAAAACTGAGTCATGGAGGAGAGTGGGGGGAAATTTCCGGAGCAGTGACTAATTCTGAACAAAGTGAGGGCATGAAGTGCACAGGACAGGATGGGCGCAGGCCGGCGGCTGCACAGACAAGTGGCGGGTAGGTGTGCGTGGGGCCACGGACACACTTTCTTGATTCTTTTTATTTTTTCAGTAAAATAGAAAGGAAATGAAACAGAATTTCCAGGCAGTACTGAAGAACCATCAATACAAAGTGAGACTGGCCAGCAAAGCTGAGGTTTTCATCAACCCCAGGTGCAAGTGGAGAAGAGGGGTGGGTTTAAGCAGGCGCGGGACTAGTTCAGGTGGAGAGAGGGGGGACGGCTGCATCATTTCAGACCGACCGGGCGGGGAGGGGAGTGAGAAGGTGGGAGAGGTGAGGCCCGCTGGGAGCCGGTAGAACGCGGACACTACAGACCCGATGAAAGCTAGGCACGACTAGGTGCGGGCCTTTGAGGCGGTGACCTGGAAGCACAGGAGGCGGTGCTAGGGGTGTGGGATCCCTGACCCGAGACCACGGAGGGGAGTGGCTGGCCAGGGCGGGGCAGCCGGGCCCAGTCAGCGCGGCCAGTGGGTGGCCAAACCTGCCAATCAGTCTAGGAATTATTCAACTACTACTCGTTTAACAGTCTTTCAAATCATTCTAAAATTCAAACCTGATCATGCTGTTAGTGAAAACCCTTTAGACTACTCCTCCCCATCTCAGAACTGATTTTCAGGAGGTGGGCACCAAAGTCCCTTCAGCACCTGGCTTCTTCTTACTTATGCAGCATCGACAGTAACTGCCTCCCACACACACCCTACCAAGACTGAGTATTAATTCCTATCAAAGTACATCCTAGATGCTACTTTCTCTGAGACACAGCCCTGCAACCATGCCCATTAAACTGAGGTTAGACATAGGATCTAAGCTTAAACACTTACCACTAGCATTGCACTTGAATGTTGCACTTTTTCTCACAAATCAGAAGCTCTTTGAGAATGCTTTTATTAATCTGTAAGTCCTTGTTTCTCACAACCACTTCCACTTATTTGTGGATTCATTTAATTACTAAGTGAAAGAGTAAGTAAGTAAATAAATAAATAGCGTGCATACTCCTTGAGGCAGAAACCAAGGTAAGGACTCAGCGCTCAGTGGGCATTAGAAACAGAGACGCGGCTGTTCCTCGCGAGAAGGAGTCTGTGGCTGGGGAGGGCGGGAAACAGGGGCGTGAAGAAGGAATCTAATCAATGCAGCCTGATTCCTAAGAACAAAGTAAGTACAATGTTAGTAACCAGTAGCCCACTGGATGCAACTGGAAATCTACGGGTTAATTCCAAAAAAGAAAGACACCGTTCAAGTTAAAGAAACTAGAAGATGGGTTCTGTCTAAATGCCAGTTACCTCTGATAATTCTGTCAGTACACTGACTATTCAACACTTCTGTTAATTTAACCCCAGTCTTAAAATGGCTATGTTATAATCTCAATTGTTTATATAAAAGAGGTAACTATTATTTGGCAAGACGCTGGAAGCAGTGACACTCAAGTGTACCTTTGTTTAAATTCTGTTAAATATCTTTGGTTTCTATGTTCAGCTGTTTGTTGGTATCTACGTAGTTATTTAATTAGCTACTTGTTTGATGAAGCCATTTACACTGCCCAGATAGCCATAATCAAGGGCTTAATACAAATAAAGCATGAAAAAGATTAAAATCAATTCATCAACCAAATATGAGCTCCTATACAATAGGGAGATTTAATCATTTCAGGTCTGGTATTGCGATTAGCCTGATTGACTTTCTGGCTTGGATTCAATAATTTATTATCTCATTTTGAGATAAAACCTGGTGAGAAATAGTGGTATCATTTGTTCTGCAGGCATAATTGAGGAAAGGTATATTCTTTTACCTACCACAACACCTGACAAAACAAATTACTGCAGCAAAATAGAATATACTATAGCTTTTACTCATTAAGCTGCATTACACTAATTTTCTGTGCTGTTGTAGATTTTAGGAAGACCAGAGCTTTGGATTCTGTATGTTGTTTCTTTTGCACTGTAGCTGCCCCAACAAACTGTGGCGGTTTGGAAAGTGCTTACCCAAAAATGTGCTCTTTTTTTGTTGTTTCAAAAAACAGAAAGAGGGAGAAATTAAAATATTACAGTTTTATAAGACTCAAACTGAAAATACCAAACATATGGCCAAAATGTGTACATTTAAATAAAGTATGCATTAATAAATGATTTTGAAGTTAAGGCAAAGTTATTTCTACGGTCTTTGGCTCCAAGCTGCCTACAAGACAGCAGCCCGCCCTGCTTACCGCGGCAGATCTGCTTCTGTTTCCTCTCACCGGCACATCCCCATATGCTCACAGTCCCCCCAGGGCATGCCGAACACTGAAAACCCTCCGCACTGCATCACACTCCTTCCACGACGGCACTGGCTGCAACCGTCCCCACTCAAAACCTTATTTAATTCCATTAAGAAGATGTCTTTCCTAAGAAAGAAAAGAGTCAAAGTGGAGTGCAAATAATTAGGAAGTAGAAACACATTCGGCAGAAGGATTACCACGTGCTTAAGTTGGAAACCAAACAGGAAAACTCAAAGGAATTTATTTTGATTTCAGCACATTTTATCTCATATGGGTTTAATTTTAATCAGAAGAACTTAGTACCAAGAAATACTGTTACGTAAGCCGAATTATATCCTATAACCTAAGGCTCTATAGACTCCAAGTGATTTTTTTTCACATATAAAACTGTAGTCTTTTTTACAAACTGAAAATAAAGGTGAACGATGAAATGTTCACACCGAACATCGGTAAATCAGCTTGCTAAGTTAAGTATAAATAATATCACTCCTAGGAGATGATTAAGTATTCTTGGTAGTACTTTTCAGTGAACTATTAGGCTGAGGTATGAGATGACCAAATGATTGAGTTGACAGCTGTCAATCTCAGGCTTTTAGTTTCAGGTAATAGCTTTAGAAATGAAAAATATTGCATAAATTCTCTCAGGCAATGATGTGGCAGATTGATACTTTCACATGGCATATTTTTATAACCAGTCATGCACTAAATATAATTGCTAAAAAAGTGCAGTAGGTCACCATGTTGTATCTATCTAGACCACTTAAGCCATTTTCAAAACTCAAGTAACTGGATTTCATTCAAAATATACAGTATATAGTACATACTACAAACCTCTTTCTTTTATTCAAATATATTTGCATGACAACTAAGCAGTTGAGGACGGGTAAGTCTGTGTTTTACTTAAAAACCTAAGAACTGTTCAACAAAATTAGAACAAGTTATTGAGTTTTATTTAACTTTTAAACTTAAGATAATTTCTTCCACAGTCATTTATGCTGTCATTTATACTTACAAGTTGAGAAAACTACCCCAAAGTAAGTTCTGCTAAGTTCTGCGACAGAAGTATTCAGAAAATTCAATTCAGCTAGGATTTCCCGGACAACCACTTTGTGCTGAACCCATTGCAAGTATTCCAGGTGAATCAAGAGCATCTCAGCGCAGTTCCTTCCCTCAAAGGTCTGTTATCTGAAAGTTGTTAAGGCACAGCATATACACACATCATTCTGTCTTACGTATTTAGGTGTTTATACATGTACCATGTGTAGGGCTGTTACGCAAATGAATATAATGGTGTGCTTGACAGAAAGTCAATGCAGAAGAGTTTATTTAAATCTGGGGGAAGCTTCATACAAGAAAAGTGAGTAATGAGTATTGAAACTATAAAGCACAAATGAGATGTCCTATTGTTCAAAATTATAAGAGATTTGATATCAAAAGCAAAACAAAGGAAATGGCATTGAAGCTCCAGAGACCAACAGCATATATCTGAACCACATGCTTTTAATGTTTTATCAAATTCTGGACTCCATCAGCAAACTCTAAATGCAGTGAACTTAAGGGAACCCCAGGTCTGGGATTTCAGACGCACTGTTGTTCATACACGTGTCTTGACCCATTCTAGGAATTCTGACTGCTTCCCCAGGAGGGATGACGGGGTCCTACAATCAATCTGCCTTTCTGCACCTCAATCCTTTGTGAGCCAAACAAGCGCTAAGCTGGGTCTGCTGCCTGTGGCCCTGGAACAAAATCACCAGCCGCTTCTCCCTGAAAGGCGGGAGAAGCCAAGCCCACCGCCTGGGCCTCATCAGTACCATGTCCATGCCGACTGGGCAACCCACCGGGCCACCCACCCACCTTGGAGGCATTCAGATAACCACAGGAAAGGCTGCGTTAGAAGAGCTCATCAGCTTCCTAAAGAGGGACTGAAAGGTTGGGGATTTTTGAGAGATTCTAATGTATCTAATTCTAAAACTAGAATTTGAAATTATGAAATTAAAATAGCAAATGCTACACTCTCTGCTGTTGGAAGCAGTGTTTTCAAAGCGTGACTTCTATTTCATACTATCTAAATTCACAAAGGTCAGACTAAGAGCCTGCTTTCCAAGGAGCCGAGGACGAAAGAACTGCTGAAGCACAGTCCGCACGGCCTCCCTGGCGGCCCAGAGCCTCCTGGCAACGGCGGACGGCTCCTCCAGGGCTGTGCCTGAGGAAGCTGCGTCCCGTCCATTACATGAGGGCCTCCGGCCCATATTCCAGCCCCACTCCAGGGTCCAAGGGAAGGAAGTCCACTCACAGGGGGATGGAGATCATCTCAGAACCATCTGATCTACCCTCCCACTGAAAAGGAACCCCGCTGCCCCCAGCCTCCACCCTAAGGCCCCTGTGGGCCCCCCAAGAGGCCCTGTCTTAACCGAAGGTATGAGAGCTTTGCCTGCTCTCTGTGAAGGGTAAGAGGTATGATTTTCAAATGCTAAGAATAGGACATTCCAATCCTGCTTCTACCCCCAAAATAAATAAATGTCTGGTTTCCTGGCATCTTAAAAAAATATAGATTTAAAGACCTTGCAATACTTCTAACGAGTATTATGTGTGCCTCGATTGAAGGATCATATAAACTAGCGCAGGCATTTTACAAACGGAAGAGGAACCTTAGCTCCCAGCCAGCCCGGTCACTTCATTTCACTGATGAAGAAAATCAAGGCCTAGAAAAATTAAAGTCCAAGTTCCCACAGCTGCTGTGGCACATAGACTAACGTCCAGTTCAGAGACGGTAGACCCGCACTGCACTGAGAGGTCCTGCAGCCGACTCTGAAGGATGCACACCAATAGGGTTCAGTCTGACGGCAGACATGAGCACATCACTGCTGTTCATTAGAATAAGGTCTCACGAAAGGGAAAATAGAGAAAGACCAAGCGACATGCACAAGGGTAAAAGGTAGCTTGTAGCAGAGCCAGGAAGAGAATCCAATTAACTGGTGTGACACATGCTATACCAATTCCTTCTATTCCAAATCTTAGAATCTAGAGTCTGACGTTCAGCAAAATAGTTGTTCTCTACGATGCGCAGCACATTAGTCCCTCTCTCAGATTCAACTACAGACGGCAGTCAGAGTGCTTTTTCCTGTCTTGCACCTCAACTTGTGACTCTCCCCAGCAATCCAACAGGACTTAGGATGGAGAAACTGCACGGTGTCACTTGGATGAATGAGAAGTGGCAGTACCTGGGGTCTCACTTCTTCCCAGCCAAACACAGGAGGCATGCTTTTCCACCTTAATGATATCCTAAAGCCCAAAGTGCAGGGAGTTGCTTCATTTTCTGGTCTCCTGAGTACTGAAAAAGATTACTGACTATATTACAATGTGATTGATCTATATTTGATTCCATAAACAAGATTTTCTCTAGAAAAAAAGAATAATTATACATAATGACAATCTCTCTCATGTTACAAATGCTTAATTTATGATAAATATTCTATGAGGAATTCCAGAGGATATTTGCTGGAAAACAAAGCAAAAAATTGAGAAGTACTTTATCCTTCCTACTTTGGCATACAGCAAAAGACATTTTAAACTTTTAAAGAAAAAAAAACACTATAAAGATTTCAATATAGTTAAGTTAGAGATAAATATTTAAAATTCTTTTAGTTCAGGAAGCAGAATATATCATATGGAATGAAATGTTATGTAAGAACATTTCATGGTACAAACATAACTAGTCAAATAGTTTACTTTTGACTTTTGAATGGTAATGACCCTGAAAAACATTTTTCCTAATATTCCTGGCATGGTCACTCCAAAACAATGTGTGTCATTTCAGTCTGCCCAGTTGCAAACATCAAGGTTTAAAATTATGAGTACCATCAATATTTTTGAACAACTTAAATCTTTAGCTTTAAAATTTTTTAGATTTCAGTGTTATTAGACCTCACATGAATTGAATAAAATTTTCTGGTACCACTTGCAGGAAAAAAAAGGATTGTAAATATATCTCTTTTTAAACTTTAAAAGGATTGGTGTCATTTGACTTTCTTTGTCTCTGTACTAGTTACATTTATACTAGTTGCACCTGCAGGGTTGCCATTAAGAAGTACTGGTGTCACACACAAAAGAAATCAAGGTTACATTTTTAAATTCCATACTTATCAGTTATTATTTTCTACAGAGAAAATTATTTTTAGCTAAACCTAGCTCAATCAGGCAACTGAACATTATTCTGCAATTGTTAATGAGTATCAATAACAACCACACCAGTTGCTTTGTAAGTTAGGGTTGGATCTTGCCTGGAGAGGCAGTGTTAGCTGTTGGGGACTAAGGGTTGATGTACAAACCTCCCATTCACAAAGGGAATGCCTGGAAAATTAAAACAATAAAATAAAATAAGGGAAAAATTGAAGAACAAACAATGTCTAATACCTCCTAAAATTTCTGAGTTTTATGCCTGTTAACTGAGGCAGTGGTGTGTATGTATGCATACGCAGAGCTCATTAGACCCTAGAAGTGGGGGTAATAACAGAGCATCTGCTGCACAGGATTGTGAGAATTTGATGACCTAGCACATGTCAAGGCACACAGAAAATACCTGGCACATAAAAAGTACTGAACAGATGAGAATGGTAACAGTCACTGTCATTATTTTCTCTTATTTCGAATAATTCACAGCAGATACCTATGGTGGGACAACCAGAAAGAAGGTAAAAAGAGAGTATCTCAGTCTGTTGGCAAGTTATAAGTTACTACTGCTCTTCTGCAGTCAGCTTTTTTCTTCTTTTTTTTCAATTAAGTCTTTGTCTCACCAGACTTGACAAACACAATGATCTTCATGTGCGAAACACTGACCTTCACGGCAATACTGCTCTTGGGAAGTCTTCAAAGGAAATGCTAAAAAGGAAAGAATGAGTTAGAAAACAAAGTAACAATGAGGTCCTCAGAATTTTGTTAAAAAATAGTGATTTTTTTTAAAGACTTTTTATGGTATCTTTCAGTTTTCTAAGCACATGTTCAAACACGTATTATCGAATTTCCTCCCATAAAAATGCTGTTTGGTCAGCAGGCCTGACTATCTCACCTCCATTCAGACGAACAAAGGTTGGCTCCTGTAAGCACCTGGGCTCACCCCCATCTCACAGAGAACCAGGGCCAGAACTCAGATGTTCTCACTCCTGGATTCCCCTTAAACCCATACTGCCTACTATAAAGTGTTTCCATAAATAACTATGTGGCAAAGAAAAGTTAAATAAGCTTCTGAGCACTGACAAGACGGAAAGATGATTGTTTTCAGCAGGCTTTATAACTGGGGAAAAACACAATTCCACAAGGCACAAACCTGCCACTGTGCGCTAAGTGTAACAGGACTGACCCTGTTTGTGCAGGCAAACCACCAAAGAGGCTTCGCTCACTCTGCTCCTTGTCTTTGAGTGTGGAAGGTGTAAAGGAGGGAAGGGAGAACAAAGAAGTGTCTAGGAAAATTTGAAGGTCAAAATTTAGTACCACAGGTCACCCTTTGTAAAGGTGCTCCCCTTTCTCCCTGAGGCTCACCCTTTCACCTTGTCCCCCTTTTTTGTAATAACATGAAATAAGGAAACTAAAACAAAAATATTTAAATAACAAAAAGGAAATCAAGTGCAATATGTACATTTATCTGGGCCCATTTTCCTTTTTGATCAAGCGTAAGTACAAGAGGGAGTGTTTCCATATTACCACAACTGGTTTAAAGTGGGTAGTTCAATCGTATTATTCATGTAACATGAACAAATGTCTTGTTTCTAATTTAACTACGCAGTGAATTCACTTGTGTTCCCCATGTATTTTTTTCTAGGTCATCTTATACATAATAAGCTATCACTACTTTAAAATGTTGAATTACTCTTTTCATTATATTACTCTTTCTGGGGTTTATAACAATAAACAGAATTTCTTCTGTTTGGCAAATTTCACTATGGCCAAATCAGGCAAAAATATTTGTTTCTATGTGAATATGTCAATAACTGATATCTCTCTGATCCATTCTGGAAAAAAAATAACAACACATTATTTAGTGAAAACTGTTAGGTATTATCATTTTTGCATAAAGGTCACGCACCTGAGAAATTGCTTGTCTGTTACCATAGTTTCTTAAACTATTAATGTCAGTTCATTACAAGAAAATATCCTAGTTATAAAACATCCAGAATCTGAACATACTTTTTCTTTTGAGTCTTGAGAAAGACAAAATTAATCAAACTGCTTTGCATTTTAAAAAAGAAAAGGGAAAACCATGTCAGTGAATTCAGACAGTGAAAGTAATTAGTTACAAATCATAACTCTACAATGGTCCATGAAGATGAGGCTGGCAATGGCCTTTATAAACACTCCATGGACACATTGCTGAGAACTTTTCAAGCTTTGCTGGTTTTCGTTATTTAAAATAAACCCGCCCTTAACATTGACTCAGAGGTCTTTATGAAAAAAAAAGACAATTCTTTATAACATCAAATCATCCTTATTTTTAAAACAAAATTTACTGTTGTAATTGCTCCTTAAGCAATACGAGCAGAGATAACACTGGAAATCTTTTCTGAAGAAATGAGATTTCCTCTTATTGTGCAGATGAAAACACACCCTCTTAGTCATGGCAAGGTGGGGAAATCAGCCACTTGATTGTTTCTTGGTTTTAGGTGTGCCTTCTAAACGGGATGACATTTGGAGACACTCAGAATACAAGACAATGACTTTCCCTCCACAGTTCCTAAATACCAAAATCATACAGACCTCAGAAACTACATGTGGTCCTACTTAGCGGAAAGCTGTATGGTAAAGAGGAAATAAGTTTTAAATGGCTCTGATTGCGCATAACAAATATGAGCCAATAAAACTGGTCCCAAAGAACCAAGCTACATTTTAGTATTCTCAGGGAGGTGACACTGTCATTAAACTGGTGTTTTGGTTTTAAAACAAGATAGAAAGTATCTTTGCAGTAGAAAGGAACTCATTTCTATAATACAAGTAAATGCTCATAGCAGTAGGGAAATGTATCAATTTTAAAGAATAAATTATGTGAATGTCATTTCCTCAGTATAATACTCTAATTATTTTTAACTTGTCTTATGGCTTAACGTATTAGTGATCCTGGAAAAGTGTCTCATGGTCACTTGAGAAGAATGTGTAGGTATAGTGTCCTATATCACATGTGTATTAAGTCTGAGCATTTCTCTCTTTGCATGTAAGATTTTAATAAAATTCTTCTTAAAAAGAACTAAATCTAGCTTTCCAGCATTTGGAAAAATCTCTAATCTCATTAATAATCAAAATGAAAATTAAAACAACTAAATTCCTATACTTGCCTTTAAAATTAGCAAGGATTTTCATTTATATTTTTAATTAAATTCCCAACACTTAAGGGTGCAGTAAAATAGTCACACTCTCACACTGCTGATGGGAACAGTTTGGTGCAATTCTTTCAAAAATCAATTTGGCATCTAATAGTTTTACTTTTGGTACAAAAATATATTAAGGTGTTATTTATAAAAGCAAAAATTAGAAATAATCAAAAATGATGTTTATAAAGAGTTCATAAAAAACATGGAGAAAAGCTAGACATTAGCTATTAAAGTAGACATTAGCTATTGTTTGAAAATAAAACAACAAAGACTGTTAGAAAATAAACATGCGCGCGCACACACACACACACACACACACACACACACACCATGATTAAGCAGACTTTGCCCCAGGAACACACACACACACACCATGATTAAGCAGACTTTGCCCCAGGAATGTAGGGATGCCTCAACATCAAAATCCTCTCAATATAGTTCAGCACACTGGAGAATAACCATATTACTATGATAGAATATTTTAAAGTGTTTAAATATTTCATTTTAGCGACTTACTGTATGACTTAACGTACCTATAGAAAATGTATTATCTCATCATTTCCCTCTCTTTAGGGCCTAACCCGCATGCAGGCTTAGCAAAGCAATGGGGTCCCCAATTGACCTCCAGTTCTGTGTTGCCAAACTCATTTTTTCTTGCTCAAAGATTTAGTGAATACTGAAGTCATATAATCAGCCTGGGGTGTGTGGTACATAAAAAGCATTTGAGAACTCTCTACAGCATTAATAATTTTTAAAAAGCTCTTTGCCAAATTAGGGGTAGAAAAATTTTTGCTTATATTGACATTTCTGAACTTGTGTAGATAATGCAAAATGACCCACTGAGCAGCCAATCAAATAAACTATGGTAGAACTTTTTAACCATGAAGGTCAGAAAGCAAAAAACTACATTTATGCACTTTTATTACAGCCAGAGTTCTGTTTGTGTGGGACCTGGCTTCTGGTAAGCCCTGGAGGTGAAGAGGAGAGAGGCACCGATTCCTCTGGGGAAGCTGAGGCAGATGTCAGAGCACCTGGTGCCAGAAGCCCTGAGCACTGAGTGGCGGGCAGCCTCAACGGTGCCGGTCCAGGAGAAATGAGCTGCCCCGTGCTTGGTTAGGCCTCACCGCCCACCCATTCCCAGTCACGCAGCATCCCTGCCCAGGCGTCTGACTGTCTTGGAGATAACATGTTTTATAAAACCCTTTTCAGCTTAAATTAGCTAGAACAGAATCTATGGTCTTCTACAGAGAACCATATATGATACAGCAATAAGGCAAAAACTTCAGCAAACACCATATTTAATGGAGGAATATTAGACTTAGCCTTGCTTTAAAATTAACTGTATACTAAGTAACATTAAAAAATAGTGTTGAATAATGGAAAAAGTAAGAACTTTAGTAAAGCAAAAAGTAGATGCAGATCTGTAGCCATTTATGTAAATTTAAAGTCATAAACACAGAGATACAAACACATATAGCAGACACGTTGCCATGAAGACGGTGGAGGATGTGAGGACGTGAGTTCGCGAGTACAGCAACGAATGGATATTCTGCTAAGTGAGAGTGAGGGAGAGGGTTTCTTTCCCCTCTGGTGCCGTTAGCTCCACGTCAAATCTCTGAGCCTTACCTGTTGGGGCTTCCGGCCGTGGTGCCCGGTCCCAGCTGCTGCAGCAGAGCCCCACTAGGTGAGACTGATGACCCCGTGACATGCAGCCCGGTGGCACGGCCGGTCCTGTCCGTCATGCACAGCTTCAGCTTCTGCCCGGGAGCTGCCCTGTTAACACATAGCCGTACAAAACATGACAACACACTTTGTCATGGTTTAACATCACTTGATTTGCCCAGAGAGAAGTGGGAACCAGCAGATGCATTTTTCCTTTCTTCCCCACATGGAATGTTCTGAGAGACAATCATTTACACAGCTTCTTAGAAGACACACTCCACAAGATCAAATAATCACACATCCCTGATGCCTCATACGGGCTCTACCCCATCCCAACTCGTTCTGCTCTATCCCAACTTCTGTCCCCCTGTGAGATTGCATATCTTAATAACATTTTAGCACCAATGCTTTTTCCTGTGGCTGTTTTCTGGAGAATCCGGCTCAGACAGGCAGAGAGAGGAGGCTTGTGGAGTTCAATGCATCTAAGTGCACTGACTCCAGGAATGCGATTACCTTCCCCACTGGACACCATCTGACGTTCATGATAGAAGGAAAGGGTGGGAGAGGGGTGGGCAGAGAAGCAATGAGGAATGAGATGGAAAACAGCCACACAATATTGGCAAAACAAAAGATATAATCTTTGAAAAGACTAATAAGATACATCTTTTGGAAGATAGATTAGAAAGAGGAAAGAAAAATTTTAAATATAATGGATTAAATAACATTAACAGATATTTTTTAAACTGTAAAAAGATATTGTACATAACTATAAAAATAAGAGTCAAATAAAATTAGTGTATTTCTGAAAAGATTTTTTAAATGTCAAGAATCAAAAGAACTAGAAAGGTCTACATTAAAGTTGTATTAAGCAAGTTGAAATGTAAATTAAAAGCTTTAGCGATTTATGTGCCTCAGAAAAAGAGCTCTAAGCCCAGACGTTCAGTTGGTGAGTTCTAACAAACTTTAAAGAACAAATACTCATTAATTTATAGAAACAAAAAATCTGAAGGAAAAAGAGAGCTCCCTGTATCAATGTACAAAGCTAACATAACTGGTAAACAACCCAAGACAGACAGTATGCATGCACAAAATATATAATTTATCTTACACATATGGACTTGAAATTCTAAATAAGTGCTTAGTTATTTAATTTAAAAAATATTTTAAGTGAAATATATCCACTTAGAATTTATTACTGGAAAACAATGACCCAGTAGCAGAAAATTTTTCAGTGTGATTCACTACACAAGTGAGAACAACTATGTTGACATCTAAGTCGAAGGAAAAACATGTGAATTTTAATTCAGTATGCACTTATGATAAAAACCTAACAGAAATAAGTGGAAGAGAGTTTTCTTTACTTGATGTACAGTTTCTGTAACAAAATTACAAGATACCACTGTGTTTAATGGAAACTTAAAAAATTATTTTTCCTTAATGTCAAGGTCAAGTCAGAAACACCAGTTATTTTTGCTATTGCTCAAGACATCACTGGATTTCTTGGAAAATGGTTGAGGACCATGAAAAAGAGAAGTGGTTGGATTAGGCTAAAAAGAGAGAGAGAGAGATCAAGCCGTCCTTACTTCATGACAATGTGTTCACTGCCAAAGAAATTTTATGAGACTCTTCTGAGTTTCTCAGCAGATCAACTTTCAGGTTTAACAAGTGTGATATTCTGACCACATTGCTTTGATGTTTGCTGACAACTTTTAAGCCTAACCCCTCCCTCTGCCCCACACCTGCGCAGCTGACGAGCACGCCTGGCGCGCTCTCCTTTGGTGCAGGTAGGAGATTCAAACCAAGTGAGCCCCTGCTCATGCACACGGGCCCTCACGAGCCAGTTTCCTTCCCTGGCTCTCTCACACCATTTCGGTCCTTCTGGGAAGCCTGCCCTGCTCTCTCCAGAGGCCCCAGTTTCATACCCTCTTGGTGTGGGTGTGGCAGTATTAGTCTTGACAGTTGAACCTAATTTGGGGTGAGGATTCGTCCTGTGTGTTCAGAGTGGTCACAATAAGAAAGGCTGATAAATGCCAGATCACTGCACTAAAACCAGATGTTCCTCTGCATCAGCATTTGCAAGTAATGAAACAGAAAATAAGATATTAACAAGAACAATTTATAAAATAGCTCTGATTTAAATTTAAAAGATTGCATAGACGTTTTGAAGAAAACATTAAAATTCTTTTTAAAAATACAAAAGATCATGGTAAGTGGAGAAGTAGATTGTGTTTGGGCCACTCCTATGGAATATGGTCCGGAAGGGGCATCCCAGAGCTGTGTTATGTGTACGTCCTGACTGTGTTCATCACGGGGGCTACAGGTGTTCGTTCTCTAGGTCTAAAAATGTAGTGCTAATCAAATGAAAATCCCTGGAGGATACTGAGGAGGAATACAATGAAATCATCCTAAATGTAATACGGGAAACTAAAAATACCAATAAAAGCCAGTATAAAGGAGTACATTGGCACTGGCATTGAAACAGCTCTTCCACTGAGGTCAAGATGGAGTAACAGAGACCAGATTTAAGAGCCTGCCTGACACAACTGAAAAAAGGCAAAGTATCTGAAATAGTATTTTTCAAGACAATGGACATTAGACAACAAGGAGGAGTGATTCCTGAGAGTGGGAGACAAATGAAGTGAACAGTGTGGGTTCACCACCCTGAGAGTCTCCAGGGTAGGGGCCCAAACCTAGCCAGCATTCTCCCACATTTGGGATGACAGAGCTGGCAAATTCTAACCATCTACCTGCCCCATTTCTGGGATCCACCGTTTCTAAAATCCACATATGCTATTCCTTCCCTCTGGGAGGGAAGGAAGGCATTGTCACTTTCTTGAAAAGTTTAGAAATTTGCAATAAAGGCAGCACCGCCACTGATCTTATTCGAGGGGCCTTTCCTGTCCATCCATCACAGAAAACTGCCTAGGTTCCATGTCCCTCTGAGGCCAGTCTGGTGTTCCAGTGGAATAGCGCCCACATCCTCTTCCAGGGTGTCCAAGACCCACATCACAGACACCCTTCACACTGCCTAACTGCAGGGCCTAAGAAACCTGCCTTCAGATGATTCCTCCCCGATAAGCTATTCATTAGAGGGCACACAGTGGGGCCTGCTTCCAGAGCCGCTGGACAGCCACTCGGAGCCAAGGGTCTCCTCACAGCTCCCTCCGCCACCCTGCATGCAGAACGACTTCATTACAGCGGATCCTGCACCGATTACCTAAGCCTGGCACCAGTGATTCAAACCCCAAATCTCCTAAGCCTCTGGTCCGCACAGGTTTGATTCCTGCTCTGAAAGCTGTCATAAGCTGCCGTTCACTTGCCAACATCAGACCCTCACCTGGTCTGAGATTTAAAGCCACTTACCCAGGCCCAGGTAACAAGGAACCGACCAAGGGCCGAGGTGAAAACGCGGGAGCTTCACAAAAGTTCCAGCCAAAGCACAGGCCACTTTGCTCCCCCGTTTCCTCCCATGCATGTCTCAAGGTCTCCTGCCCCAAATGCAGGAGATCCCATCAGTTTCCTGAATTGAATATGCCCCCCAAAGCTGCAAGCTCACCCACAATGGCTGTCACTGATGCCCACTGCTTAGAGAAGCGGAGCAGAGGCGAGGAAGAAAGGATGCAGAAGTATGTCAGTGACCTCACAGCATTTCTTTAAAAATTCCCCAGGATTTTAGGAGAGAAGAACAAGCAAATGAATTCTGAAAGGACTGCGTCTCGATGATATTTTGTTAAGATAATAGTAAGTTGTTCATGTAAGTTTTAAGAAATTCAGACCTAATGTGAAGCTTTCCCAGAAAAGGTGTTAATTAAAATATCTCAACATTTTTCACTTTATTGATCAAGTGATTCAAAGCACAAAAGAAATAGATAAAGATTTGACTGAAAAAGGAGCCTATGAGTTCAACTGAGCTTCAATAACTGGGAGAAGCGGGAAGACTAATCAGAAACCTGTCATTTCCCTGAGATGATGAACGACAACCGGAGTCATCAGGTGCTGCTTAACCAGCAGCAGATGGAGCGGAGAGTGACTCACAAGTCCAGGACAGTGAACAATGCCTGACATGGGAAAAGGAACCCTGGCTCCGTTCAGGTTTGAGGAAAGAAAGATAAGTGCATTGCAGTATTTTATAATTGAGAGAATTCCTAAATTAAAAGCTCTAAAGACATCTAGATAATGTTCTTGCCGCTTTCCTAGTTTTAAACCAACTTTTAAAAACTATTTGTTTCCTAAAGGGCTGTGCTGTTGGTTTGCTTGTAGCATTATATGGGACAGTCTTATGTCATCTGTGGCAATAACTTTGTACATCTTCATTTTTTTCATGAAGCCATTGCAGCAGAGGCAATGGATACAGCAACTGTAATGAATGCAAATATTTTACCTAAGTGATGCTCTTGGCACAGAATAAACAGATAAAAGCTCTTTCTTTCTCCCTTTTTCAGTGGGAAGGATAATTAATTTTAGATTTTAGTATCTAGGATCAAATAACTGAAACAAAATATTTAATTGATTGAAACCTTAAACTCATAAGTGCTGTACCTCTAGGATTTCTTGATGATCAGTCCACGAAAGTTGGGTTTTCTTTCACTTCTTATTTCTGTACTATAAGGGCCGCTTGACAATTATCAGTACACCAGGTGTGCATGAGCAAAAACGAGCAAATGCCCTGAATTGGATGGTTTTGAAGCCTATATGTTTGGTATTATTCATCTTTTAAGTCTTTATACTCCTTAGCATGGAAGGTAGATTGAAAAGAGATACAAAAAATGGTCTAGAACGGGAGCAAATGGTAGGGTGGGAAACAAGGCTGGGCAAGAAATACAGCTGAGAAAACGGGCTATTATTAAGGAAAAATACCCAAAGCCTACCTTACACACAAAATAAATTCCAGGCAGATGGAAGACTTAAATGTGGGAGACAAAACTTTAAATCTTTAAAATAAAATGTAGGAGAATATTGTTATGTTTTCAGGAGAAGATTATTAGATAAGCTACAGCCTAAATAAAAAAGCAAGACAGATAATTTTTTTTTAATTGCTACACATATAGCCAAGAAAAGTCTGCCAGCTAGGACTGTGAAGAATCCTATAATTTAATTTGAAAATATCGACA